AGGGAAGTCCCGGAAAGGGTATTCTATTCAAAAAAAATCACAGTAGGAAAATTGAGGTCTTCACAGACGCAGATTATGCAGGACCTGCGAACGATAGGAGATCTACATCAGCCTATTGTTCATTCGTTTGGGGAAATTTAGTAACCCGGAGAAGTAAAAAACAACATGTGGTGTCAAGAAGTAGTGCAGAAGCCGAGTATAGAGCAATGGCACACGGAATCTGTGAAGCTATTTGGCTAAGGAGCATTCTCAATGAACTGAAGGTGAAGACAGAAATGCCAATGAAGTTGTTTTGTGACAATAAGTCAGCCATCAGTATTGCTCATGAGGATGGAGATGATACAGACCTTGAGATTCATGGTCGACACCAATCGTTTCCCCGTACAACGGTTCTGCACAATCACAGAATCAGCAGAAAATGTTACGGAACAATTAAGAGCATGTGTAATTTTACTGACAGAGACAAGGTTAAAAGGGGTGTTTGGGACATATAAGACTGAGTCTAATGGTAAGGATGAAAGTGGAAGTGCTTGCTCAATACCCGAAGCCGAAGTTTGAAGGCCATTAGCAAGAGTAATCAAAGTAAGATGTCAGTGCTTGGTAATAAGGGATAAAAGATGGGGATTACCGGAAATATGGTCTGAGGCACCTGAGTCAATGATCCATGAGCCTGTTGTGTTTGAAACACAAGCGGTAGACATCCCGTGTGTGGATAAATGCATATTAGCCAACTTAAATTGCTGAAATGTTGCATATTCTTCCGGTGATAGAACAATGGGAGATGGTGGTAGCTGAGCAACATGGGTGGAGGGAGGAGGTCTCCCATTTAATTGCCAACACCTGTCTTTAGTATGGCAATTTTATGACAAAAATCACATTGAGGACGATTCCATCTTGAGCATCCGGTGTTGTTTCCTCTGTCAGAACTCATAAAAGACATTTTTTTTCTCTGTCAGAACTCAAAATCGGATTAGCATCCGGTTTTGCTAATCCGATTTTTTCTCTCTCTCTCTGTTTTTACTTTTCTGTTTTTTTTTGAAGAGTGAAAAGCTAATATTAGCAATACAAATGAGAAATCAAAAAATAAAAAAACTGCTGAGGGGATCAATGCTTCAAGGCAGTAGAACTCATGGAGAAAGCTATTATTTGCAGCAATTTAAATAATAGAAAATTTAAAGTAATGGAGTAGTAACTTCCCAAGACAGCAGCTGGAGTGTGTTGACCAAGACCTTCACTGGAGTGCTTGGAAGATGAACAGTAGAAGCAAATCAGGGAGTATGAAAACCAACCTTTGTCCGGGAGCGACGAAACAAAGCAGCGGCGGAAGCAGTGCGTACGGACGAGCGGCGGTGTGTGGATGACGCCGGATCAGGGCGGCGGTGGCGCGCCGACGGTCAGCGGCGGCGGCGCGTGGGCGGGTGGTGGCGGCGGCGCGTGGGCGGGCGGCAGCGGGGGGCGCGTGGGCGGGCGGCGGGGTGGGGGGTGGGGGCGTGGGCGGACGGCGGCGCGTGGACGGTCGGCGGCTGCGCTGCCCTATACTATTTTGGTCGCCGGAATATCAGTATTCTGGGGTGGTTGGTGGTGTAAACAGCAGATGAATAGAAAGACAGAGATGTACAATAACGTTCAACTGCAGATGCGAATTGCAGCGGCGCGTGGAGGCGCCTAGATGAGGCGGCGGCGGTGATTTTCACGGCGGTAAGTCGCGATGTTGAGGTGAAGATGACGGTAGGTTTATATCACCACCGAAAGCACGACATACACGACAACTATTCACGCCGGAATTTCTGGCCGAAGAGATTCTGCCCGGAATTTCTGGCCGACTGACAGATAATAACACTAACTAATTATATTTGCCGTAGTGGCTCTGATACCATGTGAGCAAGTATTGTTGTATTTCATATACTTGATATTAAAATGCTATACAAGAAGCTATATTTATAGCTATATTAAGAGTACTAGGGTTTCCTATACAAGATATACAAATGGGCTAAGCCCAATACAATTAGGGTTTCCACATTTATCTTTATATCTTACTCTTGTAACATGTTTAAGCTTAAAATTTTATAATTAATTAGTAATTAAATAATCATAATAATAATAATTACTATTATAACTATTATTATACCAATAAACTATTTACACAATATTTGATTCTATCAAATATATTTATACAATCTTTTTTTAAAATCTTTTATATGAACACTATGTTCACATATTGTCCATATAGTTCCAAACACATTTTGTCTTTTGTTGAACAAACTCTATATTTTCGCACATTACAGAGCTCCAGAGTAGTTTTGACCTTACAACTTTAATATGAGATATAAATATTTCTTTTGTTCTTATGTTATTTTTATCTTCTAGCTTTTCTATGCTCTTTTTATCTTTTTATCTTTTATCTTTCTTATGTTCCTAGGAATGTGGAGGTCCTAGATGACAAAGCAATTAATATTGACATATCATATTAATATATTTCTATAACACTATAGTTAAGAAAAAGTTATAATATGAGATAACTTGAATAAAAACACACACATAGGATAACCAAAGTGTATGCAAATGCACTGTACTGTCTGTGAAAATAAAAAATCAAACAAAAAAGGTATTGAAAATTTTCCTTAAATATTATTGAAATACTCCGTATAATTTATAAACAAAAATATTACTAGAATTATATATATCCCCTATGGCGTTGAATGAAAATGATCATAGTCACTAAAATCACATTTACAATCACTAAAGTATAAAAAGATACGGAGTATATTTTTATCCATTTTACCATATATATTGTCATTATTTCATATAAGTAAGTACTACATTAAAATCATACTACGTATTAGTTAAAAATTTACTTCAATAATTTGTTTGTGGCAGGCTGCTAATTAGTTAATTTTAATACCACTTGGCCTATCAATATACATACTCCTACATGGGAATTACCGGTATAGCGATTTATCATATAGTTTCTTTGAGTAAAGTAATTTATCTTCAACTATAATTTACCTTAAGCTAAAAAAATAAAGCTCCTACTTGGGTTTAACAACAATCCGTCATCTGCCAATTATCTGAAGTGATGAATATTGTATCATGTGAGGGGCCATCCGCTGGTCACCGACTCACCGGTGAAGTCAAAACCATAGTATCCTGTCCCTAGAAACTAGCAGCCGGCAAGTTGACAAGGTGCAGTCCTGTTTCCGAAACCCGTATTGGGAATTTCTAGGAGTTGTAATTGAGAGTTTAATTTTGGTAATGTAACAATGTAACATTGGTCTTCTGGTTTGCTGACTCCGGATACAATTCCTATTTCCAGCTTGCAAATTATTAAAATTAAAAACAATATCTAATACTACGTGGTACGTACTACCTTATTTGAGGCCCTAGGCAAGTGCCTAGGTGAACCACCCTATTGCCGGCTCTGTATGTTCTTATGTTATTGTTATCTTATATTTATTTATCTTTATCTTATCTATTTTATCTTTCTTTATAATTATTTTCTTCTCCTTGTTTGTCTTCTCCTTTTGGCATCGATATCATGGATCAATTCATGTTAGCCGACCGCAAAATCTTTTGGGATTAAGACTTGGATTTTGTTGTTGTTATATAAATATTTCCTCTATGTCCATTTCCACGTTTGTCAACACATAAATTTGACCATTAATACATTTCATTCCCTATTAGTAAAGCATTAAAAAATTCAGATTTCGAGAAATTATAATGAGATGAATTTAACAATATTTTTCAAACATTAAATTCCAATGCATCAGTAAAATGTAATCAAAGTCGAACATGTGAATAGTGTAAAATTCAACATGTTGCAACTATTTAAAAAAGAGGTGTATATATTTTTACATATTTTATGCTGTATTCGCAACCAACATTGACCGGGCTGATTCACTATAGATCGGGTTGATCCTCCTAGTCCGGGTGGACCCTTGACCTGGTCACTTTTCGGGGTGGACTCCCTGTCAGTTTTGATAGCATCATGGGGATTGACATCACATTAGGAAAGAAAACATTAGTCATATAACGGGAAAGATGAACTATTTTTGTCATATCCTGAGCAATTAGCTCAATAACATACTAAGATCCCGTTTGGTGACCCTGTTTTTCGGCTTATCAGGCTTATCAACCAACTTTTTCACCAAACACGTAATTTTTGATTTCGCGTCTTGAATTGTGTAATAATAAGAAAAAGTAAGGTTGAAGTTACTTTTCTGGTTGTATTGGCTGAAGTTACTGCCTGCGCTTCTTTGTAATGAAGCAGTAGTCAATCCATGCAATTTTCGACGCGAATTTCATTATGGGTCATCCGGAAACAGTCTCTATGTGCTTTAGAACAGGGGGTAAGACTGTATACATCCGACCATCCCTTACGCCACCATAGGTGGGAGCCTTTGTGGTATTGGGGTAATGACGAAGAAGACAATATTTTCATAAATCATCAGAATCAACCAATCCGGCAACTTCAGTCAGAATTTCATAAATTTCAGCAGAATCAACCAAATGAGCTCTAAATGGGAGTCGTTGGATGCTCCAGAGTCCAGTCATATATGGTGGTATATTAATGGCAGTATGAAGATGCTGCAGTTAGATATAGTGATTATATGGCAAATACGGGAGGTTGGGTAGAAGAACTAGAGCGAGATAGACTTACTTGTATGCCCTATAGATTGTGAAGATGACCACAAGGCATAAATGCTGGTCAATGGGAGTTGCGATCTATGGTAATCCATAAGAAAGAGAGTCGTAAAGTACAACTTTTAAATTTCGTTAGGCACAACAGCTGTAAATTTTCAAACATAGTTTTGGGGGGCACATATTGTTTGAGTCATGTTTTTTAAAAAATGACCTAAAATCAGTGTTTAGTATTTGCATTTTGTTTTAGGTATATGAAATAATAGTCATCTTGCTTTCAGGAGTTTACATATACTAATATTGCATTATTCTCTATGGTTCCTTACTTCTTAGGGTACTTATGCTTTGTTTAACCTTGACAGGACTTCAGTGCTTGAAAAAGCATCTAAATCAGTGTGGGAGCTCATTTTGGATCACAATGGGATAGGGAAGGAGATAACTGGGACAGTTGAGGATGTCTTCTGTAGATTGAGTGGAAGAGAACCACCTTTATTCCCTCCTCCCCCTCCTGATGAACCCAAACCAGATAAAGAGTCTGATGAAGGAAGGGAACCTGAGAAGGATAAATCGGACTTGGCATTAAAGAAGAGGAAACTCCATGAAGTGGTGAACACCGAAGAGCGAGGTGGCACATATGAAGTTGCTACCAAATCAGATGTCAAGTCCACTGAAGCAGCATTTGATGACTCCAATAGAAGAATGTCTATGCCATGTGCAAAACCATAATATATGTTCGCCCGATTGTCTCCAATGTTTTCTCTTCCCAACCATACACATATTTGCTTTATCATTTTGCTCATTTTAACCCCGTGAACTAGAATCTTTAAGGTTTTTGTTTGTTTGGAGATTTTGGAGGGAAGGGGAGGGGAGGTTTGATATTTGTTTTACTAGTTATTATATCTATCTTAGTTTTAGACTAGAAATAACTAAATTTTTAGTTAGAACATGTATTTATACATAGGTTCTTATCTTCACTTTATTTTCAACGTCTAAATGTAGAACTTATCTTTACAATAAATATTACACCCCCTACTCCCTGATGTCAGACTTTCTTCAACCAAACAAGGCTGTTGGTGGACCCGTGGTATAGTCAATTTTGTTGCCCAGAAACTGCACCAGTTTTCTGGTCGTGGACCAGAACTGATACGGGAGTCTGGTTCCTCCAAAATAGGACTGAAGCCGTTTGACTTTTTTTGAAATAGCCCAATCAACTGAACCGAGGACCTGGACTGCTATTAATTACCCTGTCAAAGCTCTGGTCGCTCCTATTACATGAGCCGGAACTGGACTGCATCCACCCCCATGCTCCAATCTCATATAATGAAACTACTCCATATCATGGTTCTGTATGGTAAGTAGGAGGTGGTTGCTCAGTTTTATCTTTTCAGCCATCTTCGTAATCATAGCTATGCTTCACTTTCAAAGTTGATACTTTTATGAAAGTAGATGCCTTTTGCCCACATTTTCAGGGAACGTGTGAGTTTGATACTTTGATGTATGTTATTATTTAGAATGGCATTAACATGAAGCAGTTCCAGAGCAGAACTTTACGCTTACAGCTTGTTCATGCATATTGTTATGGTGTTCCTAGGAGTGGACTCGGGCCGGGCCAACCGGCCCGGAACCGGCCCGGCCCGGTGAACCGGTTGGTTGCCCGGTTCGGGCCACCCGGCCCGGTGGGATGGCGGTTCGGGCTCGGGCCCTTCAAAAGGTGAACCGGCCCGGCCGGTTCGGGCCCGGGCCGGGCCAATTTATTATTTTTTTTTGATTTTTTTTAAGTTTTGGGGTTGGGCTGAGTATTTTGGGTCATTTGAGGTGGTTAGGCTTGGTTTGGGGTGAGGGGAGGGTTGGGGGTTAACTAGGAAAAGCCAAAAAAAAAAAAAAAAAAAAAAAAATAGAACGAGGCCCGGCCCGGACCCGGGGGTTACCCGGGCCGGTTCCGGGCCTCCCCTTCATGAACCGAGGCCCGGCCGGGCCCAGACCCGAACCGGGCCCGAACCGGAACCGGTCCACCCCTAGGTGTTCCCTAGTTAGACTCGCAGGCTCGTGGTTGAGGTTGTCACTTGTCAAGCAGGATCTTGGAACAATGGACAACAGATGGAGACACTAACCATTAACCATATTGATGACCGTCGCCTGCTGCTTGGTTTTACATAGTGTTGGATTCGGTTAGGGCCACCCGGCCCGTGACCCGACCTGGCCCGCTACTGTGCGGGCCCGGGACCGGCCCGGTCGGGCGGTCCGGGACCGGGTGTAGACCCGAACCGGCGGGGAGGGGCGGGGCGGGTACGGTTCCTGAAAAAGTTGACCCGGCCGGGTCGGGCCCGGGTCCAACGGTCCAATTTAAAAAAAAAATTGTTGGGCCCCAAACTAGCCGTTATGGCCTTGGGGGGTGGGCTGGGGACAACCCAAACGGCTATATAGCCGTTGGGTGGGGTGCAGGGGGGGTCCGGGGGGTGGGGGGGTTGGGGGTTGGTTGGGGGGGGGGGGGTAAAAAAACCTATAAATACTCCTAATCTTAAACATTTTTTCATATCTCTTCTCCAATTCTTCCTAAATGCTATTCTTAACTCTCTACTCTCTAATTCTCTTATTCTCCAATATATTATATTTATTATTTATATATCTACTTTATACTTAAGAAGTTAAGATGGAAAATCAAGATGCCATTATACGGAATAATTTTGATAAACAGAAGGACCCGAAGACCGGGATGTGGTACGCAACTTGCAAATGGTGCGGGAAAAAATGTAGCATGAGGGTTTCAGGCGGATACAGGATGACAATGAAGCATATGAAGTCATGTGACAAAGCCAAAGGATCGAGAGGTGCGGGAAGTTCCGATTGATTACAATTTTCAAAATGTTTGTCTCTTAAAGTTTGTTTTAATTTTCAAATGTAGTTCCTATTTCATTTCAAATAAATGCACTTGAAGTTTGTTTTTAATACTTGTATAAAACTATAAACTATAAAATATAAATTATATATGAAAAAAAAACTTTAACCGGCCCGACTCGTGACCCGGGCGGGTGGCCCGACCCGAACCGGACCCGTCCAACCCTCGGACCGGTCTCAGGCCCATGTCATACAAACCGGCGGCCCGACCGGGCCTAGGCCCGGCCCGGACCCGGCCCGGCCTGAGTCCACGCCTAGTACTTTTACAGTTAGGGACTCGCTTTTCTTGATAACCCTCCTCTGCTAAGATCTCCAAACAACGATGGGAAGATCTAAATGGCACTTAAACTCTTAGAGATACTAATCATGCTTTCGTTGGTTTTTTGTTGCACAAAAAATGGATATAGTTGATTAAGGGTTGCAATTTTGGAAATTGGAATTGAGTACCATCCGAGGAATGTCATGGCCATCCATCTCTTTAATTTGAAATATGACAACGGTAGTTGGTGCATTGACCATATGTTATGATGCATACTATATACATGGCGAATTAGTGATGACGTAGAGCGCCAATGCCACCATAAAAGAAGGAAAGTAAAAGAACGAGTAAATTCCCTAGGTAGGAGTAAAACATAACAAAAGTGTAAATCTAGGACTTCCACAACCCGTGCAGTTCTCTAGGAAGACTAGGACTAAAAATGTACGTGTTGATAAAATTACCCTTAATGAATAATCTGATTAATTTAATACAAATATAAAATAGACAATAAACTGAATGCTCCACACAACACTGGATAGGTCTCTCACGCCCATCCGGCCACAAGCCAGTCGCCACCACTCAGGACCTGCACTAGTCGTCACCACCAGTTGCCGGTGGCCACCGCCATCAGTCACCGCTACCACCACCTCTGCTCTGCCGATGTCAAAATTGCCAGATGCCTCCGTCTTCAGTCATCGCCTCCACTGTCACCGTCAGATCCCGTAGGGTGTCACTGCCTCCTCGTTCGGCACTACATCTCTTCTAGCGCCATCGCCGATTTTGGCTACACCACAACCTATCTTAAATCTGAAAAAAAGGATTCAACATATTATCTAACCATTTGAATATCATTTTTAATGGATTTTATATCAAAACAGTGATATGAATCTTAGTGTCATTTTGACACTTCAATGACATTATAAATGTTGGGTTTGCAAAGTAGTAATATTGCCATCTATATGGACTTAGTGCCATACAAATGACAATATGTCTAAAAATAACTTTTTAATACATGCCTTTTAGTGGTGTTTTTGCCATGTGAAAGGAGTTAGTGTAATAAAAAAGGCATTAAATGTCAAAAATAATATTGTCACATAAAACCTCGAAAAGCATGACATTAATAATATGGTCACATAAAAAAACAGAAAGGTATGGAATTAAGTGTCAAAACAAATATAATCACATAGAAAAACAGAAAAATAAGGCATTAATAGTATTGTTTTGTAAAGAAGAAATATTTTCATTTTAATGCCATTAAAAACTAGCGGTTATGAAAAATTATATTTAAATCAAAAAATTAATTTGAAGAGTTACAAAAATTTAATTGACCTGATCGAATGAAAAACGATACTCCCTCCGTCCCGAAAAGGTTTGTCAAATTGACTTTTCTTGGTCAATCACAATTAACTTTGACCAATGATATTTTTTAATACGAAATTATGTTGAATATGAAAATTATATCAAAATGTTCCTTATTGAAAAGACTTTCATAAAAGTATAAAATTTATAAATTATATGCATATATAGTAATTTAAATCATTGTCCAAAGTTCACCATCTTTGATCAAGAAAAGTCAATTTGGTGAACATTTTCGGGACGGAGGTAGTATTATTTTATTATAAAAGATAAAATAAGATAATATTGATAAATCGAAAGATAAAATGTTAAAAGAACAAAAGCTGAAAGAAAAATTGAAAGAAAAAAATGAGAAGAAATTAAGAAAAAATATTGATAAACTGATTCGGATTTGGAAAGAGGAAAAACAGTAAACAAAAAATCAATTTAAAAGTTGGTCATAAGTCATAATAACGTATAAGGTTCACCTTGTAAAAATAGGAAAAGAAGGGAGGGGCTGGGGAGGGGGAGGAGGAAGATTAAAATTTACTTACCTTAATCGCCGTTGTCCGCCGATGGCCATAGTTGATTAGAAAAAAATCCTAATCCAAACCTTAATTATGCGCCGGAGATGAAGAAATCGAACCGATCTGAACATGGCCGGATGAGTGATATAGGAGATTAGCTAGAAGAGAGAAGGTAAAATGGAGAGGAAACAACAGATAGGGAAGAGAAAGAGGCGTGCATCCGAGCATACCAGCCCAACTGGTTGTGAGGTTACCGGTGCATATGTGAGGTCTCATGTTCGAAACCCGCTATGCATCAAATGGAAAATGAGGAAGGTTTTGCTCCCAATGATTCTTCCTACCTTCACGGAGTTTCTCAGCGGTTAAGAAGAGAGAGGATGGTAATGCAGCTTTGCGGATTCGTGTGGTATCCAGATTTAACTGTCTAGGGGCTTTCGAGGGTAGTTCATAGACTTCGGGATTAGGGGAGCGCAAGCACCGACATCTGGATCATCAAAAAAAAAGAGAATGAGGCGTGCAATCACATATGTGTACAGACGGAAAGGAAGTCTGACAAAATTAAATCATTAAAGTTGAAGCTAGCTGTAAACGGGGTATAATGGGAATTAGAAACGGCCCAGTCAATTAAAAACTCATATTTCGGGAATAAATCAACAAGGAGTCCTATATATTGGAACTTTTTATTAATTTAGTCCTATTTAGATCAATAACTTTAAAAGAATCAGCAAACTATACATACAAATCCGGATGACAAATAAATTAGGGATTGGAGAATCTTTGGAGATTTTGGACATTGTTTTTTAGACAAGTCATTATTAGAGATTTGAGAATCTTTGGGAATTTTACAAAAAGATGACATCTCATTCTTAAGGTCCCGCATAACTTTCTTTTTTTTTCACAATCGTTGTTTTTTGATTGCTTTCTTTAATTTATTTTCCAATTTCTTCAAATCCTATTGAAAGGCCACTTGAATAGAGGGGAAGGTAAGCAAGTTTTGAGCACCAAAAGTCGGGAGTTCGTGAAATTCTCAATAAAAAAATTCCAACTTTTTTATTAAAAAAAGTCCAACTTATTCTCTTCAAATTTGCAAAATTATATTTCTCCCAACTTTCTTCCCAAAGAGTAAACATATTCAACCCTTCTAAAGCTCAACCTACACACCCACTCGCCTGAAGATCCATGATGAGATCTTGCACACAAGCTGCTTGTAACACTGGTTCCATATGAGGAAGAAGTCTCCAATATGAAAGAATTCATAGACCGCTTGAAATTCTGATAGAAAAATTTCTTAAAGACAAAGGTACTGCTGTAGCAGTAGGGGGGCATGATCTGACA